TACAATTTCAAGAAAAAAACAAACATTGAAAATTCTTTCAACTTATTATTTTACTGATTGTCTTCAATTTAAAAATGAAAACATGGAGGTGGGGAAAAATTGGAAGGAGGAATAATATCAATGAGAGATAAAAGTGACAAGTAATGGTTTAAGGGGGAAGAAAAGAATTTACATGGAAAGAAAATCGCCAAAACACAAATTAACCAAAAATTATGAAGGTAGGACATGGAAAATTTACCTTCACTTAATTGTATATCACTAATATACACATACATATACATGATAATAACAAACTGCCTACCGGTGTACTAACACAATCAATCACATGAACAATAATGGAACAATGATAATGATATGTACACACACATACAAACATAAACATGGATGTGCACAATGAATGGAAAAGATTCAAAGTGATAACGGTAATGAATGATGATCAATTTAAATATTTTTTTTCTGAAATATAAGTCAATTTCCTCAAATATATTTTTTAAATAAAAGGGTTAATTATACCCGTCTTTCCATAGGGTATGTTTAAACATGTAAGATGAAAGGTATACCTTACACATGTAAACATATACAGACATACATAGAGAACACTAAGAAATCATATTTTCAGCTTAAAGAGTGTAGTAAGTATGTTCAGTGTCAAATTATGTTCATATTATTGATGTAGATTGTTAAATAACTTGTTTCGTCATTTTCATGCGCACTATGATAAAGAACAGGTTTTTTTAAAAAAAGAAATCACCTTGTAATGATGTAGTGTGAAAAATGATGAAACAAAAAACTTTATCTGTTAACAGATAAAAGATAAAAAGACAGATCGGTAAAACATGAAACATTTATGAGTAAAGATTGTTTGTTTTCTTAAAAAAAATTACTTCGATAACGTATGTTGATCATAACGATAAAGTTGTTATTGTCAAAAAAAGTAAGAGTTGAACAGTATGAAGTAAAATGATAAACGGTCTATGTCCACATTTATGATTGAGGTTTTCGCATACATTAATGTACACAGATAAAATTTCTTACAATAATTCACATGCACATATAGAAATGTTAAATCTGATCAAACGAATCTTCATCGCATCAATTAGATTTTCTAATATATTGAAATAATCTGTATTTATTGAGAGAATCAACTTTATCGAAAACAAGGAGTAATACTGTGTATGGTGTTAAACGATACATTAGACAGTCAGTTGTACACGACTTTTTGTATTGGCATTTAATGTTAGATGATCGCCAAGAGATTGACATGAATCCGAGAATCTAATTTTCGCGTCAGTTTTCACTCTGGCGGTTACGGCGACCTCTTTCAATATCTGAGCTACCTGTTCCTTACATCTTGATATATTTTAACAAGTTATCTGTTTTTTTTTGACACATCATTCTGTCTACTAATCGCGTAACCCATTCAGGAGCATTTATGAAACGCTTACAACTTTTCGCTGTACAAGTTACTAAACAGTAGATTCAGAGACATCGTGGTGGCTGGCAATATAGATTTTAAAAAAATAAAATTATTCAGATATCGATCCCTGAACTGCTAAGATGTAACTGGAGATCACTCACTACGTATCGTCAGGATCGGTCAAGAAACAAGAATAGAAAACTTGTGGAAATACTTTGTGCTCAGAATTCCATATTGTACAAAAAACATAATATTGAACAAATGCATCAATGGTATTAATAAATAATAATCAGCAAGACTTGTGTACAACATTGAGGGAACTGATGATCCTTGTGGGATTTTAACACCTATCATTCAATGTTATATTCAGAGATATTCTCATTTAAATATTCAGAACTTTATATTTTCAATCTAGATTAACAGATTTAATTAAACGGATGGTTATGAAATTTCAATTGCTATCAATCTGTTTTATCATTCTGCATGCTTATTGAGTATCTAACTAATGTTTCATTTTGCTCTTACAATGTGTTGACTATGTGGACTTTCAATGTTAAGCCTATGTTTTCAGTTATACTTTCTCAAAACTAACAACATACCGAAAACCTAAGTACAAACCTCTAACCACAGTCAAACATGATATTAATCCGTATAATAAGATAATAGATCAAATGTTCTGAGTTCGAACCCTAGTATGAGATCATGGATGTGTACTCTTGAGAAGTCTCCATACTAGAATGAAACAACCACCCAATGCTTTCGGGTTTCCAATCGTGATCTAACTTAAATTAACTCATCAATTCAACTTTGAAGATAAAAATAGTTGAATACATTATCAACAAATCTAATAATTAAAAAAATATGTGTCATTTGTTTAATTTATTCCACTGTTGTTTAACACAACGCAAAAACATTAACAAAATAAATAAGTAATAAGTGAGGGGTTTTGTGAATATGATAATCATTTCATAGTTGACTAAGTAATGGATAAAAATATAATTAATTGATTTGACCTAATTGTTGTTGTTGTTGTTGTTTAAATTACAGAAAGAAAAAAAAAGGATATTTCTCATTAAATAATAATCATATAGGATAAACAGTATTATTATTATTATTATATTAATAATAAGAGAAATTTTTTTCACAGCTTTAAAGGAGAAATTAATCAAATGATTTAATTTATTAATGAATCGTTAAATAAACTGAGTGGTATTCTAAGTAATAAGTACACAGAGTAAACAATCCATTAATGATAATAATAATAATAATAATGGTAATAATCATGTTGATATAGTAATAATAGTAAATAATCCTAAGTGGTAATCATGTATTATTACCATTATTTATTTGTAGGCTTGATTATATGAGTAATATATTTAGATGAGATGTATTTTTAAAAAAGATGATGGATTTATTAAAGGTGAACATAAATCACATGAATAAAAATCTCCCTATGATATATGATATAAAATTATTTTAGATGGATATATGAAATGAACACTATTCAACAGTTAATTTTTTTTGTTTTGATTATGATTAAATGGTGAAAGAGGTTTTATTTCCTGTTAGTGATATAAATGTTCATGATGAAGAAACTAATCTAGTTTAATGTATCTTAGATATTTTCTAGTCATAATAATAATAATAATCGATTCTTTGTTATGAGATCATAAATGGACAGTACTGAAGAGTTTCATACAGGAGTAGAATGATTGACTAGTCCTTTTTGATTTCAATAGTTATCTAACTTAGATCGGTTTGTAATCTTAGTAATCTTAGTCAAACAATATGATAATAATTAATAATATAGTGAAAAACATTTTGATAATATTTTAGTGATTAATGACAAAATCATGAACTCTAGTTTCGTTTCTAAGATTCCTATGTTATATGTAAACGCTATAGTGATTTTATATTTTCAATCTAATTTTGCATCTAGTTGAACAAATTCTATAAAGTTACAACTTTTATCTGCAACTTAGTAAGTATTGGTAAAATTATCTAATTTTGGTAGGAATTTACAAGAATTTATGTGTTTACTTTTTCTGTTAGTTGGCAATCACCAGAGAAAATTATCTGAAATATTGAGGATATTAATGTGCTCTGTGTAATTCTAATTCTCTCCACCTAGTGTCCTATTTAGACACGTTACTAATGAGATATTAAAGAAATGACAGACCCATTTTTAGTGGTAAGACATTCACGCTGACATATTTGTCTAGCCTTCAGTGATGATTGAGTTCTATTGAAGGTCTTAAAACTTTTTGTATTTTACTTAACATGAACAAATTCTAATGTGCTTGAAACTTGTTCTTTGCTGTAGTGTAAATAAATATCGGTAACAAGAAATGACTTTTATTTGAGGAAATAATATTGTAATCGGTTGTTTGTACAATGTCAAATTTCCATCAATAAACATTTTTATAATCTAGTCTAAAAGTCGACTATTAACAATAATGAAAGTTTTCAAGGTTCTACTTTTGTATAGAAGTGTATTTTTAAAGAGTTTAGGAAACAATAAAACAGGTAGTAGTAAGATAACATGTGGGAAATAATGAGTCGTAATGGTAAACAATAGATTTATGGTGAATATATAAAATTGTCTTCGACATTAATAAAACGTTGATCGATAAGGAGAGACTAGAGTAAAGACTTTAGTGAGTTTACGTAATATTTGATTTATTCTCCTTGATATATGCATAATAGTTTGGCGTTCGTCTGAGATATCACTGGAAAATAAAGAGTAGATGACAGTTATTTGATCTTTGGTTGTAACTCCTTAGTAGAACCCACTTACTACTCCCCTAGAGATCGTACTCAAGACTTTCATGTTTTACAGTTACAGTTACATGGAGCATTATTACACACTAACAGAGAACTCATGTATTTTAAATTAATCTGTAAGAGAAATGTTAACATATATATATATATAACATCAATCACACGCATATTGGAATTGTTTTCAGTAGAAGTCATGCGGGAAAAAATTGAGGGACTGAGAAGAATCGTTTATATAACTGCACTAACTTTAATACATATTGTAATGAAACGTTTACTTCAATACACATAAAATTCATTATTTTTTGAAATCAGACCAGTTTTAATTACCGAAGGATAAAGTTTCAACTATAGAAACATACTTTCTAAATGATGGCCATTAAATTTAGAAAGCTTCATGTTACACACTCATACACACAGGAATACTAAATGCAGTTTCTAGTAATATTGATTTCTGCACACATATTTATCGCTACAATAACATGAAACTGCTTTTCTTGTATTGAACAAGCAGTAAACGTGATAGACATTTCTCATACATAAAAACAGTACTCAAAACAATATTGATAATAAAAATAATAATAATAACAATAAGTTTCTCATAGTCAGAGTACAGCTTGGTACAAATACACGTTAACCCGAGTTACCGTATCATAAAACCACAAGAAGATGAACAGCAAAGGAAATGAAATAATTGTAGTGATAATGATAATGAGGAAAATCAAACTTTGAGAATATGCTTCAAAAAGACAATGAAATGCATGTGTGAACTATAATTAATAATAATGATAATAAATTAACCAACCTGCAATAGATAAATATTGCTTTTGACGAAATTTCCTTTCTAATGCTAATAATTGTTGAGTTGTAAATGGAGTTCTTGGTCGACGATTTGGTTTATGCTTACGTAATGTACACTTTTGTGGAATAGGTCGAGCTAAAAAGAGAAATTTAGGGAAAAACAACTTGTTGTATTAAATAAATAAGTATATGAGTGAAGAACTAATTCGTAAAAATATATTCAATGTAAAATAAGCGGTGATCACATATCAGTTATTAATGTTGTTAATCATTTTTTTAAACTCAAATCCCATTGTGGTTAGTAGTCTCTAAGACACTAAATATCGTGATATACTTCATTTGATATCGTTGATGTTAATCAAGACAAGGGCTTAGAAATATATATCATGCTATTTGGAACATTTTGATGAAAAATGATGTTCCTCATGAAATTTAACCAGCCAAAGATATCATCGTTAAGCAATATGAGGGGTGAGTGACTACTTATAATACAAACAACTTGACGTTACAACACAAAACTATTCAATGATCAATTAGCGTCTTAATCTTTTTGAATGTCAGTTTACTTCTATAGTGTTATTCAATGTAGGATTTATGAGTAGCTATTGAGTTGATATTCGTGTCGTATGCCCTCTTCGCCTCAGTTTACGGACTTTCATGGGAATACGTTCAGGAAATTTGTGATAATCTACTATCAACCCATAAATTATATAAGCTAATGTGTAGGGAATTTATATTTTGCGTGTACCTATTAAATGTTTCATCTATCCGCTCTTTTATAAAAAAATAGGCTGGAAATAGACACCATATAAAATCTCAAATAGTTCCCTAATAATATGCAAAAATGTGATTGAAATATTGTAAAGAATCACAAGTGAATGCCTTTCATTCATTTAGTTCAATCTATTCATCTATCTCCCGATAATAATTACGTCTGTTTTCGGAGTTGACAAACTGGATATGAGGTCAGATGACTAAATGGTCAACACTTGAATAACATATCGAAAAGACCTGTCGTAACCTTGAATCTTTCCTGAATATTAGAGATGTATTCACTAAAGCGTATTAAACATCATGAAAATTAAGTTGGCAATAACCTGTCTAATGTTCTCACCCTTATATTATTAAGAAAATAAACTGTAGTGTCAAGTCAATTAACTCACTACTTACAATCGACTAATACTGAGAGCTAAATGGTAAAACTTTAGTTAATACCCGATGAACACAGGTTGCGTGCAAGTTGTATTTATGTTCATATGAGATTTATAAATGACTTTAAGTTTTGTTTACTTAAACACAACATACAAGATGTGTATGGGAGCTTGTGATGAACGGAATATAAACACTATTTTGAGATCCCATAGTGCTTGTACCATCGGAGACTCTTTGATAAACTCAGTGTCGAAGGTCAATTATCTTGGTGTCACCTTTTCCTCTGATCTGTCTTGGTCTTCCCACGTTTTATCGTTATCGAAGAAGGTTTTCCGTCTGACCTACTACATAAAGAGATTGCATGCTCTTGGAATTACTCGTCATTTACTCTTACAATTTGTCAATTCTTGCATATTACCTATTATTCTTTACTGTTCTCCATTATTCTTTCCCGGGCTTTTGAGAAAAGACTTTGCTGTATTGCGAAGAGTGCTGAAGGCAGTTAGCAAGATGTGTGGTGAATCTTTCGAGATCATAATTAGTATGGTTGTGGATAGACATTTAAAATCATGCAAACTCCTGGCAGGTGTTATTTTATCAGATACTAACCATCCCCTTCACTCTTATCTTTCTCCTTGTATATCTTCTGGTAGAACGAGACGTAATTACATTAAAATCTATGCACGCAAGGAAAAGTATAAAAGTTCTATAATACCTTACCTAGCAAATATACTCTGTGACGAACAGGTTGTTAGAATTTACCTAGTCAATAACTTACATTCTTAACATGTCTTTAATTTTAAAAAAAGTTTGTAGTTATTTTTTGGTTCTTTTTTTAAATTTTATATATATATATTTTTTTAAAACCTTTTTTTATTTCTTTTTGTATTCGCTACTGCCTTTTTGTTCGTTGTTCAGTAAGTAACTTGTTGAAATACCCTGTGCTGAGAATTCTATATTGTACCAAAAAGATAATATTGAATAAAGCCATTAATAATAATAATAATAATAATAATAATAATAATAATAATAATAATAATAATAATACTATTCAACTACCAGTGGATAAAATTAATCCGAATTCATTATATACTAATAACAGATCGATCAATTAAGATGTAATTTATTAACTAACTATGGGTTTTTACACTTAGCTTTGAATAAAGCGTTAAGTATGACAATTAGTTATATGATCCGTTTACTTGAAACAGAACTAGTTAAAGCAATGGTTGAGCTCATAACCAGTCGATCCATAATATTAAAATCAACTAACAATTACTTCATAAATTATGTTAATAAAAATATTATCTTCACAGTATTCACTAAGACGTAATTACTATTTTCTAAATACACAGTAGTTTACTGTACTAAGAAATAATTTCTTCTAAAGGAAGATTGCGAATTTAAACGTTTCTTTCTTATTTATACGTATGCAGTAAAAACCAAATCTACTGAGTTAACTAAACACATACCTAGTTGAATTACTGAGAATGTAAAATCAACTGATAATAATTAAAATTTAAAACCCCCGTCGATTTGTCTGACAGAAAACAAAACTGAATGTATGCGAGTAGAGTAGATCTCAACACAAAGGGACCAACACAACTTAGTTTGTTTCAAGATATTCCTCATATGAAAAGGAAAACAAATGGAATATAACTATTTGATTTTTAATTAAAGAAAGATTTTTTAGTGACCATTTTAATTTGTGGGTATTATTCATCACAGATTAATTGAAGTAACAATGAAAACTAGAGAGCACCAGATAACTGTTTCGTTTTAATACAGTGTATATCATCATTTTTCTCAATGATCCTTCTATATATTGTCATGACGAACTGAAAATTTAAAATATTTAATTATGATAACAAGTGTATTAGAAATTCACCACTCTCCTCAAAAATGAATCAATTCTTTATGCAAACTGAACTGAATTCAGTTCATATTGTTTATTTGTGTGAAACATCAATTCCATGAAATTCATCAATGATATATAAATATGAAACTAAGCGGAATAACTTACAATAATCAAAGAGATTATATATACATATGTATATATATACCGGAAAGTTGAATGTTTAATTACACAATTAATCAACACATAAACTCATTATTACTATTCACAGTAATTAACATTAATTTAATAAGCATATTCAGTAAAGTTTTGATTTCTTATATAACAATAAAATTGTTATAATTTGAACTCATTCACAGGTCAGTAATTATTTTAATCACACTAGTAATATATTAATTAATTAATAATTACGATAAACAATATTGTGTCACAGGAACGATTGAATGTATTTCATAAAATGAATATATATATATATATATATATATATATATATATATATATATATAACCTTCTAAACTGTCCAAGTCATTTTCTTTACAAAACATCTTCATAAACTACAATGAAGTATTGATAAATGACAAGATGGATGTGGCGATGTGGGTATGGTGAAATTCGTCACAAGTTTGATTGTGAAACCATAATTTCTAGAGTTATTCGAATCGGGAATAAATCATCAGATCTATCCATAAAATTAGTATAAAGACCAAGGTTACGAACTAATAAAATGTGATCATGTATTTGAAAGATGACGACAATAGTAGAATTCTTTCTATTACGTCATCTTGGTTATTCGTGTTCATATTTCCTCATGGAATTAATACTTTAACAAAAAAATTTCATATATATATACGATTGTACAGCTTGATAATAAATTCGTTGAAAAGAGATCCCTTCACTGAACTTCGTGTTTTAATTTATAGTGTTTAAATGGGAATTATCTATCAGTTCACCAAAAGACTTAAAATTCATGGGTCATATGATCATATGTGTGTGAGGTTGTAGACTTACATTGCTGAGATGCTTTAATTTAAAATAAAAATAGATATCCAATGTTCTCTGTTTTTACGGAATCCTGATTCGCTATTATTTTGTAGAGGAAACCATTTACTCAGTAAAGTCTAGTTATCATAAAACATGATACGAATGTGTACTGGTTCAAATTAACATAAATCATTTCAGGACAGAGTGATAAGAAATTAAAGGATGCAAAACATAGAAGGTAAAGTATCAGCTGAAGGGGTATATATTTATTTCATATTGATAGTAGCCACATCCAAGATAATCCAACCGCTTAGAGAGCCGTAAGTTCAAAGTGCACTACAATAAATCGAGTCGATAATTAACCGCGTACTCTATGTTAATTCATTAAAATCTGTGTGATCAAAGCCATATATTGAATACATTTTCATCTTTTAATTTTGGGACTAAATTTACTATGCAAGGGAAGGAATATTTCAATATCATGGTTACATAGCATCATGCTTGGAATTACTTTAAAAGATTGACATTACTGTGTTAGATTAAACAATGTTTATGATCATTCACAACCAAACAATGGATTATATTAGTAATTCAAATTATTTTGTTGGTTTAGTTCAAGGCGTTTTTGTGGCAGTTAGTTTAATTTGTAAATTGTATTCGTCACAGGTTGATTTCATTTAGGAAACTTCCAAGGTGGATAGGATACACATAGCCAAAATAATCATACTTCACCATAAAGCAAGCTCTAACTCAAAGTCCTCAAGACAATCAGAAAAGAGGAAAACCAAAGAACATACTGAGTTGGGAATCGGAGGCAAACACCAAAAAAATAAAGAACACTTAGCAACAACTGGAAAGGAGAGCTCAGAACAGAGTAAGCTAGAAAACCCTAGCCGGTGGCTTATGATTCATGAGGAATAACAGGAGTAGCATAGATAAATAACACAATTACTATTGAAGATCAGAAAGTCCTGTAGAACTGTTTCGCCTTAGTATGGAACGCCTCTGAATTTTCATCAACGAATCCAACAACGATTGAAGGTACAACCTCAAGTCTCGTAGCTAATGCTGCGTGTCCAATAGTATGATCTCAACTCCAGTCAATTGGTGACATAGATGGACGATCGTCCAATGCTATTAATGATATCGTTATCTATTTCGACTTCAGTAGTGAAAATCTCGTACAAAGAAAGCATGACTACATCATACAGACAAACGTACTGTTGATTGACTACTAAACGGTAACCAATGCTATATTTGTCTAGTCATTGGTGCTAATCGAATTTTATGTTACAATTTGGCCACTATTCTAAGTAATTCTATATCGCCTACACTATGTTGAAATTATAGGCGGTTGGAGGCAATTAGCAGAAAATCCTGGACATATGTACCGTGCTAGTTGGTACTCATTGGCAAGATGTATCTGTAGTATTACGTGAACTAATGCTTCTTTTGGGATTCAAATCCGAGTAACTTAATTTCATAGTTTGAGATGTTAATACTGAACTAATCGATCAATGGATGGTGTAACAAATGTGTGTCTGATTGCTAAATCATAATCATAATCTCAAAAGTTAGCAAAATAGGTTTCAATGAAGAAGAAGAAACATGTGGATAAAATATTTTACATATTAAAATTTCTACATTTGCACATCAATTGTAAGGATACAATGACATTGTATACACTTTATATTTTAGGTTTAACAAAATAAGCAAAAAACGCATTTTAAGAATGGATTTGTTGTGGATTTTAGGAGATTTGTTTCGTCTTGTTGATAACTCATAAGATGGATGTGACTACTGTTTGTTCTTTTATTAATTATACAGGATTATTTATTCAGTTGGTTGTTCGAACTAGAAGATGAATGTGCAAGATTCTGGCCTTAAAAGTTGTCTAATTAAAAACTATACACTATGGAAATGATAGTCATCATTTACGTCTACGAATGGATGCTATTGGTGGTGCTGTATTCTCTTAGTTATGCGGTTTAATTTGAGAGCTTTCATTATCATTCTGGACATATTTTTGAAGATTACTTCATGTAGAAGAGCACTTTCCAGCTATTCCACAATGGTTACATCAGTTCGTTTCTATGGTCTTCTTTGTGGTTAGTTGTCTTAGTGGATTTTGTCGTCTTCGTTTGTCTTTGTATTCATGTTGACTGTCTTTGCTTGTTGACCTCTAGTCTTTTAGTGGTGCGGTATCTTTGAGCCATGTCGTTTAATTGCTGATTTATTTATTTATTTATTTATTTGAACACATTAATATTTGTACAAAGGGGTACAGAATATCTATGCGCCACATAAGTCACTTGTTGAGGTCGGCCGGAAATAATGGTCAGCATGAATACGAAGAAAAATGAAGAAGACAAAATCCGCTAAGGCAGCCAATTGCAAGCAAGACCATTGGGATGGACTGGCGTAACTATTGTGGAATAACTGGAAAGTGTATGTCTGCATAAAGTAAGATTTGAAGATGTGTGTTTAGAATAACAATGAAAGCTGTCAAATTAAACCGTATAATTTAGAATATACAGCACAACCGAAAACCGTGTTGTGTGTTGAAAAGTGACTCACTGGTTAAGACGTTCAAATTTTAGCCACTGAGTCACAGGTCTGAACCTCGCTCAATCTGCTTCTGTTTGGGCAATCGGATAATATCATTAGCTGCCACATTTGGAGTATTACTTGGAGCCAAACACACAAATCTTTACTTGGCAAATAAATTAATACTAGTATGTTGTGATCACCAAACTATCACCGATAAAATTATTAAATTATCAACTACTCTTAGGTTCAAAACAGTCATAGACAATCTAATGATATTTACATTCCAAGCAATTGCATTTATACAATTTAACATTCAACAAACATACATAAATTATATTCTAACAGAAAAGTTTATTGATTTTTCTCACAATTATTTATTTCTATTCTGTTAAGTATCTATTTTTATTAAGATCAAACTTATTGAATCGAACCAACTTTACATAACTTATTTACTAAGGATAGATTAATATACTTGGCTTGAAATTACATTTCCTGTGAAGATGGTTTAACGACACTAACCCACTATTCAAGCTGAGGTAGATGAAGCTAAGTCGTAAGGCATGATTTGATTTTTGAAAACCAATTACTTTGATCGTTACTAAACTGCCTGTTACAATTTTGCTGATCACTCAAGAATTTAATAATGGATTAATCAGAACTAAACTTGAATATAATGAATTTCATGCTAGAAATTTTCATTAAACTAAAGTGAATTTACTATTTTCATAACCAATCAAGGAGAAAATGACTGATTAAATTTTTTCATGCAGTGTTATAGTAACTAGCAGCGGAATAAATACCATGTTTCGTCCTATTTGGGACTCGTCAGCTGGAACTACCTACAATTCAGTGTTAATGTTCACATATATATTCAAATCCAGTACCTTCCACTTCAAATATCCAGACACATTTTCCACAAACCTAATGAATTTAAATCGCTGCATGCTCGAAAACTGAAATAAATAGTTAATCTTTTGGCTAAAAACAGTATTCCATATAGTGTTAAATGGATATTTGACGATGTATCCTAAGATCGTTAATCCGAATATCACTCCGTGTGGCCTGCCAAGATGAAATTAAATTCTGAAAATGTTATCATTAGATTACTACAATAAAATATCTTAGTGTCCTATATATATTATGATTAAAATTGGGGGAAAATAAAAATAGGAAGGGTAAATTTCACTGACTTACATCCAATTGCACTATTACCAAATGTTAAATAATCATTAAATGATAATTCGTGTAATGAATTAAAAAAGTTATGCTTCTTGAAATAAGACATTTGATTATGATTTATTTCATTATCAATATGATTACTATTATTTATATTGTTGTCAGTAGTATCTTTGCTTGAATAATTATAGGATGGTGAACTTGTAGAAATTTTATTATTTTGATTTATTCTTGATGATTTAACGTCATGATGTTTTTTAAGCTTATTGATAAACTTTTCTTCACTTCCATTATCATGATTAGATTTCCCATGCGATTTTTTACTATTGACTTTAGTTTCATTGAATAACGAGGTGGTTCTGTTGAAATGGTGGTTGTTATTATTATCGCTGTTACTATTGTTACAATTATTACCGTCGATTTCTGGATGAATAGAATTTTTGAGCCCTAAGTTATTTTCGTCAGAATTAACCAGATTGCGACAATGATTGCAACTGTCATTGTCGATATTTTCGTTATCCCCATCATTGTCGTCGCCATCATCATCGTCATCATCATCATTAGCATTATCATCATCATTGTCACCACTTTCATCATTAGCATTGCCATCAATATCGTCATCATCTAGCAAGGCATCTATTGAAAAATGTAATTGTTTTGATGCTTTTGTCATGACTGTATTCTCATTGTCTGTTTGAATATTTCTCAAATTACTGTCATGAGTTTTTATATCCACACGCTGGTTACAATATGAAAAATAATTTGATGTGTTCGGTAAGATATCTTCCATATTCTCATAATCCATTGTGTTATTCAACATTTTGTTGAAAATAATAATGATCACTATGAATTTTATGATTATTTATTAATCAACGTGTAATTTTTTATTTTACAATTAAATAATTTTCGTTTTCTACTTCAATAAACAAAAGAACGCTAGTTGTTTAATAGGCGACCAATCAAAATAAAATAATATGATGTAAATAAAAAATTAAGCGCTTCATGTCAACCAATAATAATGGAGTAAAATTTTTATCCATCTAGTAAATGTAGCCAATGAAATTTCTTAGAGTAAGTAGAAGAAGGTTTAGGTATATTAGAGCGGAATTTAGAAAATAAACTGTTTGTTGACAGTTTTCACAGATGCTATTGTAAAGAAAGGTTTGAATAGCGAATATTTGGTATATGATTTATTTCAATGGTTAAGATCCTGAGTCAGTTGAAGCTAGAATACCATGGAAAACCTGGAAGCACTGGAAGGCCGTTTCGTCCTATTATGGGACTGTTCAGCAGTGCACATCCACGACCTCGCGCCCTGCGAGATTTGAACCCAGGTTTTCCATGGTGGTCTAGCTTCAACTGAATCATGATCTTAACCATTGAAATTACTATAATATCCACAAAACCCATCTGATATTAATCAACATATACTCACTAGTGACTGGCTTCACGAGATATATCCTGGAGTTATAGTGAGAAGTAGTGACCAGTAGAGTTCAACCAGGTCTGTTGTGAGATAGTAACTCATTGAAGACAATGGTGGATGTGTCTCTCAATTTCGTGGATCAGTTGAAGTTAAACATTAACACCGTTGGATGCCGGCTCAGTGGTCTAGTGGTTAAGTGCTCACGCGCGAAGCCAGTAGGTCCCGGGTTCGAATATCACAGAGGGCGAGGTCATGGATGCGCACTGCCGAACAGTTCCACAATAGGACGAAACGGCCTTCCAGTGCTTCCAGGTCTTCCATGGTGTTCTAGCTTCAGCTGACTCATGACCTTAACCATTGAAATTACTATAATATCCTTAAAACCCATCTGATATGATTTGTTACATTATGAAATCAGAAATTATAACTACCAGAATCTACTCATTAATTTTAAGTCTCACAGACTCAAATTATAAGTGAAAGAAATTATTTAGCTAATAATAAATCTTTTACATGTTACTGAATAAACATTTAGAACTTCATTTACCCGGTTAATTACTGTTTCGATTTAGTGTGCAGAGTAAGTTACGTAGAACCTATGACTGAAAATAATTCAGATTAATAAAAGGTTTCCTGACTGCGTATTAGCGATAAATGAAATTTGAGCTGAATAAATTGGAATTAGGGTTCCCTGTAAATGAATCAGTGTAAATGAATTCGTAATAGAGTCTCTAATTTCATGAGTTCATTAACTGATAATATAAGTAGTTGAAGATTATGATAATGAGTACTGTACCAAAAATATAATATTGAATAAACCCTCTAATAATTATAATAATACATAATAATAATTATGATGAATTTAATTATTTAAAGTGTATATCAGAATGGGTTTTGTGGAGAGTTTTAGAATTTTCACAGGTTGAAATCACGAGTCGATTGAGGCTAGACCACCATGGAAAACCTGGAAGCACTGGACGGCCGTTTCGTTCTAGTATTGGATGAGCATTGCTGAGGAGTCCCATACTAGGACGAAACGGCCGTCCAGTGCTTCCAGGTTTTCCATGGTGGTCTAGCTTCAGTCGACTCATGATTTCAACCTGTAAAGTGCATATATTTGAAATTAAGCTGGAATTAATAAGTGTATTGGTACTATAATGTTAAGCATAGAACAATGAAATGAAAGGGATAGATTTCGTTAATAACCAATATCTAAATTATTATCTTGAGATGGTGGAGAAGATTTGTAGCTCAGGTGGATGATTTTGATGGAGTTTTGTTCTCTGAGAACAAAACTCCATCTAAATTATTATCTATTTGACAATCTGGGTAATGTCATACATTCAAGTAATTCATATACCAATAGTGACTTATCATTTGAGTCCTGAACAATGACAAACGAAATGTTTAAAAATGTACAATGAATAATGAATACCATACAAGTCAAAAATGTTGACGGCTATAGTGAGATACTAACTAGTTGACTTTTAGCTTGGAAATCTATTACCAATGGATAGCAAATATAATTGCTTGGACAGTAAATGATGCTGAACGACTAAAACATTTCATCGATTGCTGCACATCAGTTGTTTTGATTCCAAAGTAAAAAATATCATGATCAGTGGTACTATTCATTTTACTAATGAAATAACCCATATAATTTTAGATATTTAAAGGGAATTCACTAGGAATGCTAGAGTTATAATTAGTCTTTGTCGAGACTCGTTAATGAGATGTGTTTGTACTATTGAAAGGACTTTTAGTCTTGGAAAGATTTAGACCAGTTAAAGTCAATATCATTGTCAGAGACTTTGCCACATGGTTATTCAGGTAGATTACCTTCAATGTTCTTAAATCCATAATAAGTATATGGCAATATCAAATCATCTGACCTAATAGTCATATTCCAGCCATTATGAAAAAATTTTCAATTGTTATCAAAGATTAGACACTATAATGTTAACTGACTGAGTGACGATCAGTATCGTATTTGGCCAGTCCTTGGTTTTGATCGAATTATGTTAGTCAAGGTGTAGTGTGGTCACTAATCTAAGTAATTTAGCATCACCTGAACTCAGATTTTAAGACTGGGCCGTTGGATTTAATTGAACCCATATTTCTTGCTGGTAGACAGTGGTCAGTAAGGTGAACCTGCAATATTGAGGGCACTGATAGTTATTTACATAGATCACTACTTGTCGATAAGCCGACGTAAATACCTCAATAATACAGGAAGTTATTTGCAGCTAGAATAATACAGCGATGGCATCGCAGACCGTAAGGCTTAGAAACGTTAGCTGGATTCATTGTAAAAACCATTTCTACCAACATTAAATGTGTAAGGAACAAAGACTTGTTTAGAATGAACCAATTTATTGTACTGAGCAAAATTACACACTACATTTGTGAAATTTGAAAACAATCAATTTAATACATTGTGTATCTTCTTTAAATAAGCTTAATCGTTCTTTAAATCCTGTTCTCACGTTTCTCTTCCGTCAGTAAGAGTCCTACTTCCAGTTTTGATACACACTACTTATATCTGTCCGTATGAGTAGCATACCCCTTACACGTGCACCTTGTTGAAAAGTGCCAAGTAGGATGAAACCTAGGTCCAGTCTGTCCTGGCAACTACTCTTAAGAGCCTACCACTAAATACCGGATATTATTAGTTTTTATTCAGGAATTGAATAATGTATTCATTTAATATTTATGATCTATTTACAAAGACTAAATGTATATTTTTCATATAAAAAAGATCGAGACTTTTGTCATAAGTCCAACATTGTTTCAGCAACACTTACCCTCATTCTCGAATTTTAATGTTAAGGTTTTGATTATTTTTTACTAAAATTACCAATATAATACCTGTTTTTACAGATTTTAGAGCCCACTTTGCTCTATTGCAGTCCATATACATTTCAAATTTCAAGTAATCATCGCAAGTGTTACCACATTTGAATTTTTTATAAATTAACAGATGAAAGGAATATCTAATGAAACGAATACTAATTGGATATAAATCTTCCTTCGTAAATATTTATTATTATAGTTAGAAAAGTTTCGTCGAAATTGATTTAGTTTGTAGGTTTTATTTATTATAGACCAATTACGCTTATACATCACAGAAAATCAGGAAGCACTCATCCTAGAATGAGACTGTTCAGTCATATGCACCTACAATCCCAGCAGCGATCGAACCCAGGATGTTCAGGTCTTGTTAATATTAATCGGATGATTAATACTGTCTTGGTGAATACACAGTGATAAGTAAAAGATCTTATATCAATTATCATCATGGGCTTAAATAACCAATAATTGGTACAGAATATTACAATATAATGTTTAAATTATGTGTACATGTTTGTGAGTGTGAATAATTGTTGCATGAAAAAAAATGACCAATTCAAATCCGAGCGGAATACATATATTGATATCAAAAACTAATAAACGTTCAAGTGTCTTCTTTCTTTTTCTACAGTACATCAATTGACATTACACACATGCACTTATCACAAAGTTTCCTGTTCGAACCAGACAACAATATTAGTCTGTTTTTTCTTCACTAACTATAGTTGTCACCAGATTCATGTAATATGTATTTCTTTTATTTTTTCAAAGAAACATCTAATTAAAACTACATAAAATAGCCTAATTACTTATTGTAATTGCATTAATATGTAAATTTGCGAAAGCATTAATTTCGTGTCAAAAATTTAGTAAAATTTCGTTTTGCTGACATTATATATATACATATATAAATATTAAATGAAAGTACACAAGCATACAGGACAAGGTATAACTTGTAAGAAAAGTGGAATAACTCATCTTTTCAACTAACTTTGATTTCATCTTTTACAAACCTCATCAGAAGCATCTTATATGTGCATAAATACTTGTTATCTCATTACATTCAATACTTTTATCACGAATATCATCATTAATAATTTTTCTTGTCTTTTTCTTCTTAAAAATGTAACACTATAACCAAATTCATTTATTTAAGCAATATATATATGCACCATTGTATGTATATACATATGTATAAGCGTATAATTCATGTTAATAATTAACAATTTTCAAAATTATTTATATTAATGGAATATTTTGTTAACAAGATCATCATCTGGTTAGTATGAAATTAGCGAAATTGATTTTTTTCTAAAAAAAAAAAGTAAAACGAAGAAACAAATAACAAAGTCAACGCCAACAACAAGGAATGGTATTAGGATAACGGTAACAACAGGATAGGAAGAAATAATCAAAGTAGGTATGTTGGGAAACGGACCAGTGTACACCATCACCACTGTCATTATCTCGTAAAACTTTAAACAAACTATATATGTATGTATACTATCATTATTTATTCCTTTGCATAAGAAAGAATCTGTCTAGACCCAAAACTGTGAATATATATATATATTCCTCTCTAATGTAATATTATATATTTTAGTTAAATAATTTGATGTGTATATCGTCAACGTTACTAGAAAGTGAATATACTATTGTCAATAAAAAAATTAGTAAT